ATTCCACTGCTTACAGACCAAAGATGAACGAGCAGTAGAAGCAGCCAACAAAAATATTAAGAAGATAGTGGAGAAAACAACTGAAACCTACAAAGACTGGCATGAAAGTTACCTTTTGCTTTGTTCGCTTATCGAACCTCGGTAGTACATCGACTGGGGCAACTCCATTTTCACTAGCCTATGGAATGGAAGCAGTGCTACCCATTGAAGTCGAGATTCGTCTCTCAGGGTCTTGTCAGAAGTCGAACTAGATGATGCAGATGGGCACAATCCAGATATGATCAGCTTAATCTGATAGATGAAAAAGACTGAAAGCCATTCATCATGGTCAAATCTATCAGAAACGAATGATCCCGAGCACACGACAAAAAGATGCGCCCGAGAATATTCCGTGAAGGGGATCTAGTGCTAAAAAGAATTTGGCCAGTCCAGAAAGATTTCCGAGGAAATGGACCAATTGGAAGGACCTTTATGTCGTGAAGAAGGCTTTCTCCGGAGGAGCCCTTATCCTGGCTGAAATGGACGGACCTGAGCTGCCGCATCCTATTAACTCGGACGCAGTCAAGAAATACTTCGCTTAGGTGAAAAACCCGAGAGGGCGTCCTAAGTTGAAAAAAAAAAAAAAAAAAAAAAGAAAAAAGAAAAAAGAAGAAGAAGAAGAACGTTAGGGTGAACCCGAAAGGGCACCCTAAATGAAAAAAAGAGAAAAGAGGAAAAAGAAGAGAAAATAAGGTGGGTTCAAGATGAAAACCCGCAAAGGGCGTCTTGCAACTAAGGATGGTCCAAGTTGAAAACCCGGAAAGGGCGATTTGGATATCAAAGGATGGGTCCAAGTTGAAAACCCGGAAAGGGCGATTTGGATATCAACAGAGGAAACATCCCGGCACATGAATCTTCTACGAACAACAAATCAGAGAAATGTTGCACCCTCCCAAACGTTGTCGCATTTTCAAAGATCCTTTGGCAAAGGTTCATTCAAAGTCACCAAACGGCTTTTCAAATCAAAGTGCCCACGTTATCGAGATCTAAGACATTCATTTACACATTGTGTATTCGTTTTCTAGAATGTTTGCCATGTATTATTTGTTCTTCTCCTCCCTTATGAATAAAGACCATCTTTCCTCCAATTCCTTTTGAGCATCTTGAATTAGATTTAAACCTAATGGTTTATTTATTTTTATGAAAGATAATCGCATATTATTGTACAAAGATTCATTGAAAAGTATAGGTACCCAGAAGCCGATCAAGGCTCATACATGCTTGAGATGGTTGAGGAGCATCTTCAAAAAAAAAAAAAAAATCAAACATTTGAAGAATTCAAGATCAGAGATCGGAACTTCAAGCTCAAGAGTCAACAACGACAGGCCACCGGAGATCGAGATTACTCTCCAGAGCCCAGAATAACATATGTTGCATATGCATTTTAGGCATACCTAAGAGCATGACATCCATAAACATCACATATGCATATCTTTGCAGGTTTTACCCAGAGCCAATTTCAACTTCACAACGAAGGATATTGGACTCCAGGCAACGTAAGTTCAACTTCACGACGAAGGGACCGCTGGTTGTCAACGAACATTTCTCAATTTCAGAGCCAATTTCAACTTCACAACGAAGGATATTGGACTCCAGGCAACGTAAGTTCAACTTCACGACGAAGGGACCGCTGGTTGTCAACGAACATTTCTCAATTTCAGAGCCAATTTCAACTTCACAACGAAGGATATTGGACTCCAGACAACGTAAGTTCAAACTTCACGACGAAGGGACCGCTGGTTGTCAACGAACATTTCTCAATTTCAGAGCCAATTTCAACTTCACAACGAAGGATATTGGACTCCAGGCAACGTAAGTTCAACTTCACGACGAAGGGACCGCTGGTTGTCAACGAACATTTCTCAATTTCAGAGAGCCAATTTCAACTTCAACGAAGGATATTGGACTCCAGGCAACGTAAGTTCAATTCAACTTCACAACGAAGGATATGGACTCCAGGCAACGTAAGTTCAACTTCACGACGAAGGGACCGCTGATTGTCAACAAACATTTCCCAATTTCAGAGCCAATTTCAACTTCACAACGAAGGATATTGGACTCGAAACAACACAATTTGCTCAAGAGTAGATTTCACTCCACGACGGAGGATATCTAACTCGAAGCCAAACTTCACAACGAAGGACTCATACTCAGAATCTTCCAGTTTGACTCAACCTCACGACGAGGAGTCATTCATGATCGAATTTCAACTCTATGACAAAGGATAGTTGATGTAGACGAAATTTGTGTCTTTTAATCTTTGCTCTATTTTCATTACACGATAATGAGCAAAGAGGGCAACTGAAGACACTTAAATTCGTCCCTCATAATACATACATATAATATATTATGTTATAAGTTATAATATATATAGTTTATTTACATTTTTTTTCTCTTCTCTCCTTTTACAGGCCCAACAGTAATGACCCAAGTGACCCACTGGAGTTAGGGTTCCCAGAACCCTAGCAGTTTCCCCATCCAGCGCCGCATCACCAAGATTCCAGGGCTATCACGTCGCTCCAAGACCCCCATCACCGCACGTCTCGCCTCCAAACGACCGGAACTCTCGGCCACGCAAAGAAACAAGCAACACAACCACATCAGTGTTTTACTCTAATTCAAACTCTAAAAATAGCCATTTTTGGGCTATAAATATCATGTAAAGCACACAAGTTTGGGAGGACGAAAAATACACAAAAAAAATATACTAGGCACGAGCACACAAAGAGAGATCGTGAGAGTCACAAACTCAGAAGGTTGTAAAATCATTCGAAGCATTTTCTGAAAAGAAATAAAGGGTATTTTTCTTGGTCTTTTACCTTTGTTTTTGATTCGGTTCCCTTGCACTGCTTGCATGTTGTTGTTGTTGAGTCTCCTTTGAACCATCAAGAGAAACCTTTTGGCCGATGAACTCTTAGGGGAAGGATCGAGACTTTGATCTCAGTCTACCCTCCCCCGAGGCCTATTTCGAAAACCAGTTTAAGATTTGGGTTGAAGGCAAGGAAGCTTTCGAAAAAAGCTTACCTTTTCGTGTTTGGCCGCCGATGAACGACGCCGCGGATCAGCGGCGGTGGCGAGGCAGCTTGAGGCGGCGCAGGGCCGTTTTTCTGGAAATGAATGTGGTGTGTTCATCATTGGATGAACAAAGAGAGAGTCTGAGTGAGGGAGGGGGCCTTCGACGAGAGAAGAGAGAAATGAAATTTCAAAAAATATTTGATATAGTTAGCCCAGCGGACCAAACTGGCCCGACCCGTGCTTATATCAGATCCGCGTGTTTTGCTAAAAGGTAAACTTCATTTTGGCTCCCTCTGTTTTGAACAACATTCAATTTGGTCCCCAAATCGGTTGGGTAAACTTCATTTTGGCTCCCTCTGTTTTAAAAAACATTTAATTTGGTCCCCAAATCGGTTTAATTCCCTTGGTTATATTCTGATTCTGCCATCTAACTTTATTTTGTTTCATTTACCCCCTTTATACTTATATATTTTATTATATCTCGTATTTACTCTTTTATACATAGATATTTGGATTTTTATTTATTTACACTATATTATATTCCTATTAGTTTATATATACACTTATTTTTCTTTTATTACATGCTATTTTTATTATATATATTACTCATTTGCTTTTTTTATTTTCTTTGTTTTTATATTTTTTATGGATGTATATTTTATTTACCTATCTATTTATATTTTTATATTTTTTTATATTAATACTTTTTGTTGTGTTTTACAAATTATTATATATATATATATTTTTAATTTAACTATTACTATTATATTCTTTTTACTAAGTTATATATATATATATATATTTACGTTATTATTATTATATACGTACTCTTTTTCTTCATTGATTATTTTTTGCTTAATGTTATTTTTAATATATATATATATATATATATCTATGTATATACTCGTAATAGTTTATTATATCTATTATTATTATGTGTACATTTCAAACGTTTTATTCGATTACCTTTTCTTTACTTTGTTTTTATTTCTTTGATGATCATCTTTTTATTCATTGTATTTATTTATTCGTTGGTTGTATGTAGATTATTAATGTTTCATTTATTTATTTTACTCTGCTTATTAACCCTTTTTTTCACTATTTTTATCTTCATTCTTGTTTCCTTTATTTTTCATTTTTTTTTATTTTCGTTCTTTAACGTCTGTATTGTTAAGGGAATTTCAATCAATCAAGGGTAAGTAGTTCAGATCGATGTTTTACCTTTTAATTTAACTTTCAATTCTCTTAATTAAAGACAACTGAAAATTACATAGTACCGAAAGGGCAGTTCAAGGGTGCTAATCCTTCCTTGGCTGTAATCGACTCCCGAGCCCGACATATTTCCGGTAAGACGCAGATCAGGTAAGAAATAGGGTATCCGATCAACCCATTTATTTTTAAATAAATGATCGGTGGCGACTCCTAACCCAATCAATTCCAGTCGAAGCTCAATTCCGGGGCCCAACCGAAAGACGGTTACGACAAGGGTAAAATACATAAATAGTCTTCCTACTAGTAAGGCGTTGTTTGGTTGAGTCTCCAACTATTAAAAGTTACAAATGGGCGTTGTTTTGTTAAATTTTTAACTACTAAAAGTTACAAAATAATCATTTAACTATTCATATGTTACAAACTCATCATTTTTTGTTAAAAAATTAATTGCAGTTTGAGGTAGACGTTAGCATGTTGACTGAAATATGATAAAATTTGATCACAGAATCTCAAACGATTATCATATCTCACTTAGCATGTTAATGTTTAGGTCAGACGATCATCAATTTTTTAACAGAAACGGACGAGTTTGGAACATATGAATAGTCAGTGATCATTTTGTATCTTGTAATAATCGAGGGTAAACAACACCCTAAGTCGGGAGACCATCTGTGTACTTTACCCTTTTTGTAATCAAAGACAAATGCTAAGTATTGAACTAGGAATGTGAGTACCTCGGACGACAATGCAAAGTTCAAAGCCTCATGTACCATGCCCTCATCAGGACAAGATGCCAATGAACCTACAAAAAAAAATATTTTATGATATAGACATGTATTGATTTGAATAATCTACAAGGAATTTTTACCTAAAACCCTGATTTTTTCTTGGCTTAGATCAGTTTCTTTGTAAATTATCTTCAGAGATTCAAAGCCTGCTTTGTCTGATGAGGTGACTTTCTGCATTACAGCTACATATGCAGCCTTTCTTATGTCGGGATGGAGGAGAGGACTGTTTCGATCCTCCAAGAAAGCGTTAAATCGCGAAATCGCTTCGTTTATCGTCTCCTCGTGACCGAGCTTGGTGAGTGCGGTGAGAACGTCTCCTCTCGACATCGCATCCAGGTGACTCTCGCCTTGTTTAGGGTCCCAACCGAGGTTCCTTGTAAGAGAAGTTACAGCTTCAGTGTGACGTAAAATCAGATTAAGTTTTGGTTATTACAAGCTTTGAGTATCTGAGTAACTTACTGAGCTGAATGCAGGAAAGGGCTGATAAAAAACTGTTTGATGTAATTCATTAGTTCGGGTCTTGCATCTGCAACAATCCTTATGACCTTATCGGATATCTGCGGAATTAGAAATCACAATCAAAGTAAAGATTATGAAACGAGGTTATTTCGAACTATTCGACTTTAAGAATACTCCCTGCATAGTGCTACACACCGGGATGCGATTTTTTTTCCGACGGAAACACAAGGGTGACATCCCGGAACCCGGTTCGTTATATTACCTTGATCAAGTTAGACAGCACAGAATGGTCGAGTTCCTCCTTGTACGCAGCCATGAAGGTAAGCAAGGAAGTTAAGGACATCTGACGTGCCATACAAAGCGCAAACGAATCATCCAGAATGCCTGTCGAACAGAACATATAGCATTACGAAAGCATTCCATGTATTCACAAGCAACGTACATGCAACACTGCCAGAAAGAGATGATTGCAACCGCAATTACCGAGTCTGTCTGTTACTGATAAGCATTTGTTTTCAATTGCATATTGAAGTTTAGCCGCCAGGCAATCGTCATATTTCACCCTGAAGAAGCCGACCTGTTCGACATTGAGCTTTATCCAAGAACGTGCTGGATCATTAATGTCGGAAACGAAATCCTTAATATTGTGAGTTTCGGATTTCTTCTCCATCAAGAAACTTTTCGAGTTATCATAATTGCCACAGCAATATGTGATTGGGATAGTCCACAGACCACGACCATCGGAATCGTTATACAAGAATTGTGACTGCGAAAATCGAATCATCATTACAACGAAACAGCTATGCATATGCAGAGATATCATGAAAAATGATCAAACCTGCTTGATTTCCAATGTCTGGTTTTTCAATCTTACAGACAAAACTGGATACCCTTTCTGTTTTGTCCATGAATCCATTATCCTGTCCACTGGTTCATTACATACTTCCTTAAGAACAGCCCACAGATCACCTGTCCTTGCATTTGACCATTCATGTCTCTTTATATATGTAGCAAGTGAGTTCTGATATCAGGAGAAAGTTAAAGAAGCTAAGATAAAACTTAACGAATAAACATCGGAATTCGGTTTTAAAACGGACACATTATATGAATTAATCGTTGCCGTCGCGTCTAGATGGGATCGAGGTACCATATAGCGTGACAAACTTGAAAAAACAATACCTGAAAGCAAATTTAACAAACAAGGAGAAGAGAAACCTGAAAGCATGAACCTCCAACATAGCCTTTAAGCATCTGGAGGATCGATGCACCTTTTCGATAGCTTATCGTGTCGAATATTTCATCGATTTCAGAGGCATGTCTTACCTCCACCTTCAAAGTAAAGCATATATGCTTAAGATCAAAGAAGCAGTTATATCAATCTGTTTGTTAATTGTATGTTAAATGATATCGACCTCGATCGGGTGAGACTCTTCAAGTCCATCCAAACTAAGACCTTCACTGGTTTCATGAACAAAGAATTGTGTCCATATTTTCCATTCAGGGAACAACTTATCTTTTGCCAAGTAACTCATCTGAAAATGCACAATCATTAGTAATAAGAAAAATGCCGAGTGACGATGAACATTGGTGAAACTCGAACCATACCCAGGTTGCAAAACCCTCATTCAGCCACAGGTCCGTCCACCATTCCATTGTTACAAGATTTCCAAACCACTGGTGCGCCAGTTCATGGGCCACCACTGTCGCTACCTTAACATCAACCAAGAACATTAGTCAATATGTGAGGGGCAACCTACATTCTCTCAAACTTTAAGCACGAGTCATGTCCGGAACTTTGTCGGATCGATGCTACAAGAACATAGGGGAAACATATATGAAAAAAGAGAATCCACAGAGAGCAACGGCATATGTACTAACCCTCTGCCTGTTGGCAGCGGCAGAATGATGATCATCGAGGAGCAACGCCGTCTCTCGATATGTAACTAAGCCATAGTTCTCCATTGCCCCAGCAGCAAAATCAGGGATTGCAACCATATCCAGTTTAGGAAGAGAATAGGGCATATGAAAATAACTATAGAAAATTCATTACCGCAATAAGTTGAAAGACTGTAATCAGTCAAAAACTTCGAACATAAGGGGGGGAAAAAGCATACTCTGCATAAAAACCAAGTGTCTGCAAAGCAACATTAAGAGCGAATTTCCCTTGGTTTGCCTTCCCAACCTGAGAGTACACTCGAACTTTGATCCCATCCGACGTACTATCCTCGATGCAATCGAACAAACCGATAACGACCGCGACCAAATACGACGACATCACAGGCGATTCTCGATAATAAACCGTTTTCAGATTCCCATTATTCAGTTCTTCCTCCACCGGCATGTTTGACAGGGCCACTAGTTCAGACGGAATATCCAGCAATGTGATCTTGAACTTTGCCTGTAAAAAAACACACGGAACATATTTTGATGATGTCCAACACAAATTAATAAACCATGTCTCAAAAGGAAAAAGACCTTGAAAGCTGGTTCATCCCAACATGGAAAGCATTGCCTTGCATAAGCTGGCTCGAATTGTGTGACTGCCATGTTCATCTTCTCACTGTTGTGATCATAAGTACTGCATTTCAAATTATTATCCAATAAATATTCATATATGAACTGATGAATATATATATATATACACACACACATGATTGTATGTAATATACCTTCGATAGAATCCCTTCATTTTGTCATTTAAGACACCCTCAAATCCAATAGTTAAAACTCCCATTCCCGTGGGAAGTGTATCGGCGAATTCCAACACCAAAATCTCATCTGCTTCGACCACCTCTACTTTTGGTGTCCCGAATACCTTATAAAGATATAATCAGTCGATGACAAAAATATTTTCTATGATATATTCCATGGTCAAATTATATATGGTTTTGGTCCCTCTACTATTCTTAATTTTGGATTTAATCCTTGCACTTTAATTTGGTATTGTTTGAACCTACTATTATAATGTCAATAATTAGTCCAAATAATTAGCACTATTATCTATTCAGTTCAAATGCTGGAGTGAATTTTACTAAAAAGCACCCCTTCAACACAAAAAAACACACACACAATATATATATGTATGTATGTATACAATGGAATTTTGGACGTTAAATGTACATTTATTGTGTTTAGCTGACGAGAACCCATGGTAGAAACACATACACACACACATATATTAAGTAAAATGGGAAATGAAAATTGTGTACTGGGAGTTGAACCTTCTTAGAGTTGGGATGGGAGAAGGAGACTGAAGAAGAGTCAATGGAGAGGTTAGCAGCATTGAGGACGATGGAACTAGTATCGGCGACGATATCGACTTCGATAGAGACATTGCCTCCGAATCTGCAGGCGGAGAGGTCGGGTTTCAGTTTAATATCATAGCTTTTCGGGACGGTGAATCGGCGGAGACGAGGCTGATCATGAGAAGTTGAGCTTGAGGGGCTCTCCTTTTTTCCCAAGCAAGAAGAGCACTTCTTCAACAGATTCATGGTTCCAACGAAATGAACACCGCAAAAATTGGGGAGGGGGGGGTTCCTCAGAAAAAAATGAAGCAAAGCTTTGAGAGAGATATGGAAAGTAGGAGGTGAGGGCTGAGGATGATATAAGGGCTGCAATGAATATATATTTATAGCCTTTGCATGCTGCAGCACACGATCTAGATAGCTGTAGTCTTATAAAACCTTAGTTAACTACATGATTTGTGTTTTATATATTTTTACTCGATCATTTCAAATATATATATATATAATCACTTTGTTTTTATTTAATTAAAATATAGTCACTTTCGTTTTTACTAATTGTCGTTAACATTTAACATATTAAGTGAAGTGACAGTTAAATACTTTGATATAATCACACATTTGGGCCTTATTATTTAGATATTCTCTTAATTTTATCTTGCGTTTAATAAATTAAAATAAATTTAATCATCCAATTGAATGATTTCACATAACACTAGTGTCATTTGTCGTGCCACGTATCATCATTCGGTTGGAGGATTAATTTTATTTTAATTTAATAGTTAGTCTTCCAACTGAATTACAAAATTATTAGACTAGAGGATTAAATTTATTTTAATTTATTAAAAGCATGACAAAATTAAGAGAATATATAAATAACAGGGATTAAGTGTGTGATTATATCAAAATATTTAACTGTCACTTCACCTAATATGTTAATTGTTAACGAAAATTAACCAATGGTGACCGCATCTTAATTAAATAAAAACTAAACCATATATCATATTTTTTGAAATCAATGATAAAAAGACAAAACATAAACATAAGTAACATAAACATAAGTGATCAATCATGTAATTAACCCTAAAATTAAATATTCAAAGTAGGATATACGCATTCATAAGGATATTTCGGTGCATACTTTATTTAATGTAATTCTTTTAATTATAATATGTTCTTCTAGTCTTCTACCATATATTTAAAGATGTTACATTCTCAAATATCAAAACTAATATTTAAAAAAACTCGACCTAATTTGAAAAATCGATTTTTTCGATTCCAATAGGCTCGAATTAATTTCAAGTTGTGTTTTTATAAACTCGACTCGAATTAATTTCGAGTTATGATTTCATAAACTCGACTAAAAAAATCAAGTTCAAATCGAATTGTAAAATATAAGTCAAATAACTCGAATAGTAACTCGAAATTTTTAGTAACTAGTGGTTTGATTTTCAAGATTACGTCGAGTCCCTGAGCACTGTATGATATGAAAAAAAAAGTATATGTATTGTATATAGTTATGAAAACCCATTTAAATTAAGATCCAACAATACCATAATATTATAAATATTTATAATTAAATTTAAATTGATGCTCCATATAACATGTATTACTAATTAATGATATTTTGGTGTTTAATTTATTATGAAAATGTTACCTATGAAGGGGTTTTAGAATACGAATATTAACAGCAACTTTTAAGTAGATAAATAATGGCAAAGAAAACTGGCATTCGATGGTTTGCTTGGGGAGAAGTCTTTTAACTTTATTTTAACTCGTCCTTCTTTATTAATATTTAATTAAAAACTAATTTATTAGCTAACCCTATTCTCATATGTAATGAGATAAGGAGCATGTAGGGTAGTAGGTTGTCCCCAACGCTAGATTAAGAGCAATTTTCGTGAAAGACCTCCGGCAATTATGAATTGTCCTTCGTGGGACTCGATCCCACTACCACAAGGTTAAAAGCCTTATGCTCTACCAACTGAGCTGGACGGGCAATTCTTAATTAAAAACTAATTGAATTCCTTAAAACAATTGAAATCGAAACATAAAGATTGTTGCTTAATTGGCTCGAGAAAAGGAAAAGAAAAGCAGAATGTTTTGAAAAGAATGGAATTAATAGTATTTGGATGTATAATGTCATGTATTGACGTCTTAACTGTATGAAGCACTCAAGTATTGAATATACTTTTTAACTTTGAAGAAGATAAGATTAAGGCATGCCTTTTAATTATTAAGTAGGATGAAGTATAAGAATGGTCACCTCACAATAGGTACAGGTTTAAGTACCTCGATTATTAAAAAGTTACAAAATGGTCATTCGATTATAGAGTATTATTTTGTTGAGTATCTTGATTATTAAAAGTTACAGAATGATCATCTGACTATTCATTATCTTCCAAACTTGTCATTCTCTGTTAAAAAGTTGACGGTATTCTGAGATGAATGTTTACCTGCTGAGTGTGATATGATACCAGAATCTCAAACGAACTGTCATATCTCAATCATTATGTTAACGTCCAGCTGACACAACTACCAATTTTTTTAACGGAAATGGTTTTGAACATATTCAATAGTCGAGTTTCAATTTTGTAACTTTTAATAGTTGAGGGACTTAACAAAATAATATTCTATAGTCGAATGATTATTTTATAATTTTTAATAATCGAGAGACTCAATAAAATAATATCTTATAGTCGGTGGATATTTTTTTTTATACTTTACCCTATTAAATAATGATTCAAGTGCAAATGATACGGAGTGTGAGGTCTTTTCGCAAGTAATTGGGGATTATGATGCTTCAAATTATCTTTAAATGTTATTTTTGTAATTATCTTTTACATTAAGATTTAGGGTAGATTAAGTTTTAGTACCTAAGTTATCGGTTTTATCTATTAGTTTAAGACCTTATCCACCGTGCATCTTTCCGCCTACTAACTACTCATTATATAAATTTTGGATCATTAAGAATTTAGGTATAATTAGATATTGTTATGTAAATCACTAAATGTCAAGATGTTATAAGACATGGCATATAATTTAACCAAATGTTAGGGTATAAACATTTTTAGAATTGAAGATTGTTGTTTTTTCTATCTCAAATTGGTGGGTATGAGCGGTTACAGACGGGTACAAAATGTGTAGCGAATATCCAGTTAGATAGTGGGTATAGAGATAGACTTGAGAATGTACTCGCGTGAACATGTGTGAATTTAAAAATTTTATCCGTCGTAGATGGTGAAAGTGGTGGATATGAAAATAATAAGTGGGTACAAGAATAGAGGAAGAGGTATCTACATCCACCCAATCCGTTCGCCATCCCAAAATTTGAAAATTGGTTAAGGATTTGATTAACCACCAATACATACAATATACTATTATAACTAATTATTTTTTTGGTACAAAAAAAGTTTAGGTAAAGAGTGGCTCCGATAGTCCAGTGTAAGGGCATACCTCAGACCCAATTAAAAAAAAATGGCTGTCCCTTTTTTCCCATATGTATGGGGTAAGGGGGAGGTAAGATAGTAGGCTGCCCCCAACACCAGGTTGAGAGCAGCTTCCGTAGGAGACCTCCAAATTATGAAATGCCCTCCGTGGGACTTGATCCCACGACCTCAAGGTTTAGAACCTTGTGCTCTACCAACTGAGCTGGATGGTCATTTCTCAGACCCAATTAAGATTTACACAATAATTTATAAATTGCTCACTAAGAGTTACAGTGGTAGGATTCGAACTTTGCCTTACAAGCTTAAATTCCTGAATCTCAACCACTTATGCTAACACTCGTTGGCTACAACTAGGGAGGGGTATAGGACCTAAACCTGACGGGTCAGGTCGAGTTTTTTTATATAAAAAATCGGGTCGGATCGAGTTTGGGTTTAGGGTGAAAAATACATTACCTGACCCAAAAACTTTTTTTTACCTTATATATTTAGATATAATTACAATAATACCCTTTATATATTATTTTTTTAATTAAATCCTTATTTTTGTTGTATAAAAATAATATTTTTAATATTATTTCGGATCGGATTGGATCGAGTTCGGATCAGATGGAGGGTGTATATTTTTTTTTGATCGGATCAGGTGGAGGCTGTAAAATTTTCGGATAGGGTTGAGTAACATGACACAAATTCGAACTGTTTCCATCCCTAACTACAACTAATATATTTAGATCAAACTGTAATTCTCTCTCTCTATATATATATATATATCAAATTAATCCGAATCTTAATCTTTGGAAAATAAAAATATACGATCCATGACCAACTTGGGTGACATTATTACAAGAAAACATTTTTGCTTAGGTAAGCAAACAGTGTTTTATCTAAAGTGACTTTTTTTGTTTTTTATTTGCTCACAAACTTCAAAAAATTTCCACCTTAACTATAATATGTCTATTATATCTAACTTCCACAATATGATATCTTAACAAACAATCCTAAAAATCCACGAAATCTATCATCATATATGGTCAAAAAAATCACTAGATTTTGCTTCACACAATCTCATATATATATATATATATATATATATACATGATCCTTTTATATAATGTAAAAACTCTTTTAATTTTATATTGATTTAGAACCGTTGGATAAGTTAAAATAGATGGTTGAGACTAAAAGTTGAAAACGTGAAGATATTTACTAGAAAAAAGAAACAATGATTTAATTTCAACCATTTAAATTCGTTGGGCGTAGGGTAATTCCATTAAATAGAAAAGGTTAAATAAAATACATCCAAAGGTCACTCAATTTTTTGAAATGATCATTTTAATCATTGAAATTTCAAAATTATAAAATGATCATTAAATTTATTAAAGTATTATAAAATAATCGTTGCAATGTTATAATAAGCGTAAAATTTCAATAAATTTGAATGACTTTTTTTAAACAGTGTGACAAAATTTATGATAATTTAGTAACAATTTGATAAAAATTAATTATCGTTTTATAACATATCGATAAATTCAATAACCACTTTAAAGCTCTGAAGTACTTTATCCAAAAATAGCTTCTTTTATTAGTTTGATTACGTAAACAAATTTCAATAATGAAAAAACTCGAATACAATATATTAAGTCGTGATTTATTTTATTTTATTTTATTTTATTTTATTCATACGATTACTGAATAATGTTCGAATTTCAATAGTCTATGTTCATTTTATCTTTAGATCGTGATTTCGATTGCATCGGGGGAAAGAAGGTAGTACAAGTTTGGCACCATTGGTGGGATATCAAA